TACAGTTGGTCCTACTTCTGTTACTGTTCCTATTTATGAGACAGCAAGTTTTACTTGTGAAGGAACTGGCAATGAACTGAATTGGCTAGTAGGGAGTGCTCCACTGACAGAATCAGTTAAACAACAAAGAGATGTATCCTTCACTGATCCTGGTGGTGGTCCTGGTAACTTATCATCAGTACTTACTATCACTGGGTTACCTGTTAATGATGGATTACAAATTGGATGTCAAATAATATCATATCCACCATTTGAACAAGTTGTTTCTGGTGGTACACTAACAATAAGAGGTTAGTACATACATTATTTATGACTAGTATCAAGATATATTATTAGGAATATCACCAGTTGAAGACATACAATGGTCTAATGATGATCAGTTATTGTCTGATGATATACCACTAGGAGCTGACCATACGTATAATGTATCAGTGAATGATATCAGTTATACTTGCACTACTGATACTAGTGTATGGTTGAATACTACTGGATTACCTTGTACTAATGTTACAATTGTCAGTATTACTGCATCTATTGTACAATATGTGTCACAAGGGAGGGAACTTGCTTTTAATATTGATGCAGGTAAGTAAAATAAAAAAACATTATTATTATTTGTTTTCGTTAGATCATAATCTTTATAATGAAAGTGTCACAATGACTTACTTTAATGTATCGAGCCAGACGTTTGTTGCTAATCTCAATTGTTCTGTAAGTTTTATTATTACTTCCTAAACTATAATATTATGCGCTAATGTTATTTTATTATATACATTAGATACACAGTAATCAGTCATGTACATATATGATAGTTGGGGAAGTCAGAGGTATGGAAGACAACACTCAAACAGTTGAAGCAGATGGAAAAGAAGAAATATTTTCATACAAAATGACTGGATTAAGACCATGTACAGATTATACTGCTTTTATAAGAGCTGATAAAGATTCTTTGGAAGTTCCATTTTGTAAGTTTTTATGTTTGATTACTTTAACTTATTTTCTGTCTTTGAATTACCTTAAGCTACGTTATCATCGAATGTACAAAGTGTTCTTTTATTTATTGAAAGGAATGGATCAGTTAGTGTACAGTGTGTATATGCAGAATCATCAACTGCTAATGGATGTCATGTTATTTTTATACACACTATCAGTGGAAGGAATGACTCCTTTAATATAATAGGATTGGATGATAAAACAATACATCTATTGAACAGTGGAGTTTATACTGTAGTTGCATACGACATTAGTGACAATGGAAGTATTGTCTCCTGGACTTGTGTACAACCTAAACAAGTTTATGTGAGTTCTATAACTAGTGCTACTTCCTCCAGTGGTAAGAGATACTTTAATTCTTTGTTATTATTATTATTATTATTATTATTATTATTATTATTATTATTATATTAGGATTTTTTGCTGTCAGCTCTACTTCTTCCTCTACTGCCATCAGTAGTTCAACTTCTGTCACTACACCATCATCAACTGTTATTACTGGAACTGAAACTAATGCACCAGGTATTGACTGACATGTATAAAAAATACACTTACTTATTTTGTTTTTATTGAGGAAATGATGATAGCTCAATGGTCTATGTCATTGCTAGTGTGGTATTCATTCTTATGATAATGTTAATAATAACCTTCACTTTGTGTGTGGTTGCTGTGATTAAGAGGAAGCAAAAGAACAAAGTTACACTTAGTACAGGTAATTGTCATAGTTATAGTAAATGTGATCTGACACAGTTGTGGTGTTATTAGTATGTACTATAGTTAGTACAGTATTTGTAATAATACTGCTGATTGTAATCATCATTATTATACTACTATGCCTCTAGTTGTAATTGACCAATCAGGTTGCTCAATTTTAGGTTCATAAATAACTTACTTACCCCCAAGCTCCTGCAAGGTTGTGTCAGTATCTGTGGCCTTGTGCAACTATTGCCCTCGGTATGATAAATGCCATAGATACCTCACCTTGATGTATAACCTATATGTATCTTGTGTGTGAGAAAAAGGAAGGAAGGGTAGCTTCTTCTTGTTTAATTTTTAGTTTGTTTAGTATAATATACATTTCTATATTTAAAGGTAATTCCATTGAGATTACAGTAAATAATCCAGCATATGGTCAGAGTAAGCTGATTAAATTAATACACTAACTAATGTAACTATTCATTTCTAGTTGAGCGAACAGCAAGACCTATACAGTCAGTACAAGGATTGAACACAAATGTTAATCCAGCTTATGAAACTGTTGTTGTTTATGAATATGTAATGTAATTACAAAATATAACAGTTATTTAGTTAATGCATTTATTGCTGTAATTTCTACAAGATGGTGATGATATCTTCAAGTGCTTTGGTTTCTTAAAATTTGTCAAAAATTATGATTATAAATTTATAATAAATTCAATTTTGGCTC